CAAGGATTTTGCGTTTATAGCACTTTAAAGTTTTCTTTTTTGATAAAAGGCTCTTAAGTTTTAATTGTAAAAGAGTGAACACATGTATATTAGCTATCAATATCATTATGCAAAGCTGATTATATGTCCACTAATTGTTGGTAATCGGTTATTTTGAAAAAAAGAGAGGAGTAGTTCCTTAAACATTTTAAAAAAAGAATGGTAGTAGATGTGGATTAAATATTTCAAGAAAAAATATATAAAAAAATTACGTAATCCAATATAAATGGAGAGTCTTGTCACTTGAGTTAATCCAAGATACTTGGAGATTTGTTTTTGTCTTTATTTCAATTAAGTTTTTGGTGAAAATTTTTAAATAAAAAATACATTAAAAATCTATAATCGGGAATTTCTTAATATATAAAACACAGTTGTTAACAATTATACAAAGCTGATTTACTTCCACTAGTTCTTAGTAAATCGGTTAGTTTTTCAAAACAAAATGAATTGAAAAGTTCCTTAAACACTCTTTCTTTAAAAGTGCTAGTTTATAGAACTAAATTTCGGGAAAACAAAAGTTTGCATACATGATTGAAACAATTTTTTAAAAAAAAAAACAAGGAGTCATAGATATTTTTTTAAATAATTCAAACAAAAATATAAAAAAAATTACCATAATCCAATATATTTGGAGATTTGTTTTAAATACTACAGAAAAAGTATAAAACATAACGTAATCCAATATATACAGAGAATCTTGAGTCCTGTCAGTTGATTTGATCCAAGATATGTGGAGATTTGTTTTTTTGTCTTTATATCAATTAAGTTTTTGGTGAAAATTTGTAAATAAGAAAAAATCATTCAAAATCTTTAAAATGGAATTTCTTAATATATATAAAAAGATTTACGTCCACTAGTTATTAGTAAATCAGTTTTTTTTTCAAAACAAAATTATAAATTCCTTGAACACTTTTTCTTTTAAAGAGCCAGTTTATAAAATTAAATTTGAAAAAAAATAGTTTGTCAAATAACTTTAAATGTAGTTATCTTCTATCTATTCTCTTTATAAATTTATCGTAAAAATTTCCTAGTGCAAAGAAAAAAAATCAAAATGAATAACATTGTGTTGATTGTTGTGTAATATTTATTTGTATTTCTGAAAAAAACAAAAAAATTGTTTTCTCATGTGCTGCTTCCTCAGTTGCTCACGCGCACTTCTTTGGCCTGTAACGGCGGGAGAAATCCTAGGCTGCATTATCCGA